GATGCTTTCAGACGATCTCATGTGAGTCTTATATGAGTATTCGACAGGAGTTGAATTATATTATTGTCCTATCTTTGCATTGGCGAATCTTGGATCTACCCATTTATTCATATGCACTACATTAATCAAAGAATTCAAGTTAGTTCCTGAGGCTACTAAATTCAATATTATTACTGTTAGAGTTTGACTAGAATTCAAAGTGACGCAAATTAATTAAAGTAATTGAAGAAAGTAAGAAACCTAGTTTGACTAGAAGTAGAAACTTTATTTTTTTTCTTTTATATAGAAAATTTACTTTTAGTAGATTTCTATTTTATAAGTTTACTTTGTAATCTTTATAAATAAATACTAAGGGTAAGAGTTATATATCAAGTTTTTCTTTCTCCAAAATCCTATTATATTTTCTTCCTTCATATTAGTGAAATTCTTCTCATTTGCCCGTGGTTTTTTCATTTTGAGTTTTCCACGTAAATCTTGGTGTTCTCTGTTTTCTTTTTCAATCGTGTTTAGTCGTTTACCGATAATTATTTCAATATTATAACAAATTAGTATCAGAGCTTTGGTTTCAATATTACAACAAAAATGAAGTATACTATTATGTTGTTGGATAGAAGCACTCGATTCTTGCTATGGCAGGTGAAGATTCGGGATGTTCTTGCATAATTATATCTAGACTATGCAATAAAAGGATTTTATGAGAATCTGGTAACACAGTGGACAAATAAGGAAAAACGTAAAAATCGTAAAGTCCTTTATCAGATTTGTTTACACTTATCAAATCAAATCTTGTAGGATGTGTTGAAAGAAAAAACATATGCTTATTTATGGGTAAAATTGGAGCAATTATGCATGCAGAAATCGTTAACCAACAAGTTCCACTTAAAGTAGTGTCTTTATTAACTCAAGTTGGTGAAAGATTCGTCTCTTGAAGAGAACATAAGCACATTCAAGGAAATTGTCTATGATCTAGAGACATCAAAAGTGAAATATGACCAAGAAGACCTAAGATTGATCCTCCTATGTTTGCTGCCTCATTCCTACTCATTTTTTAGAGACATAATCATGTACAGTTGTGAAACATTCGCTCTTGAAGAAGTGTACAATGACTTGCACTCGTTTGACAAGGTAAAGCACCTTGTATATGGTTCCGAGCCTCAGTCAGAGGGTCTCATGGTGCATGGATTGACTAACTCAGACCGTGGAAGAAAGTGCAAACATTCTTCTTGTAGTATAGAAAGGGGTAGATCAAAATCTTTCAATTGAAGAAAAACTTGTCACTTTTGTAAAAAAGAAATGTCATGTTAAAGCAGAGTGTTACAAGGTACAAAATAAAATCAAAAAAGAAGCTGAAGAGCAGAACTTTGAAAATTTTGATGAGGCTAATGTAGCGGAAGAGTGCGATGATAGAGAATTCCTAGTTGTGGCTGACAATAACTCTATAATAAGTGATGAACATATACTTGACTTTGGTAGCAATTTTCATTTGAGTCTGAATCGTGACTGTTTTGTGATGTATAAAGTTCTATTAGCATATGATTTGTTTTTGGGAAATAACATCCCTTGTAAAGTCGCATGTATCGACACAATCAAGATTAAGATGTTCGATGGGATAGTTCAAACACTTGATAATGTGAGACATGTTCCAGATTTGAGTAGAAATCTAATTTCGTTAGCTACCCTAGATTTAAAATGGTACAAATTTTCTTGTGAACGTGGAGCTATGAAAATTTGTAAGGGCTCTCTTGTTGTGATAAAAGGGAAGAAAAAGATTGTCAAGTTTTATGTTCTACAGGGCTCAATAATTTTAGATAATGTAACTGATGTTTCATTCTCCTTGTCAAATAACGTTGCTACTGGTAAAAAATTATTGACTAAATTAAGCAAAAGAATATTTTTTGTTTAAAAAGATATGAGCAAAACAATTACGTGAAGCGGAAAATAGTTCATTTTTGTGGGCATGACAAATTTGAAGATAGAATTATCATTGATAATTGTTATCGTGTTGTGCATGATATTGCTCGTTATGATACATTTGTGAGCAAAGTTGACACTTATGATAACTATGTCAATGTGAAGACTAAACCCAAGCTTAGAAAAAGCTTGGATTCGATCAGTGTCCATTAATGAAAATTACCTCTTTGAGGAGTGTTGTGAAAGAGGTGGAGAACGTGTTAGTTGAAGTGAATATATTTTTTTGAGTTTGAGTGTCTCATCGAATTTGGGTGTTTTGTATCAAAGCCTTCGCACTTTCAGAATTTGTGTCAACATGGAGATTTGTTAGAGTTTGATTCGAATTCAAAGTGACAAAAATTAATTAAATTAATTGGGGAAAGTAAGAAACCTAGTTTGATTAGAAATAGAAACCTTATTTGTTTCTTTTATGTATAAATTATACTTTAAGTAGATTTCTACTTTACAAGCTTCATTTGTAATCAAGTATCTATCTCTATAAATAGATAATAAGGGTAAGTGTTAGATATCAAATTTTTCTTTCTCCAAAATCCTCTTGTATTTCCTTCATTCGAATTATTAAAATTCTCCTTTGCCCATATTTTTTTCCTTTTTTGTTTTCTATGTAAATCTTGGTGTTCTTTGTTTTTTTTTCAATCGTGTTTATTTGTTTATTGATAAGCATTCCGATATTATAACAATCGCTACAAATCCTTTAAGGGATAGTGTATTAGTCAACCGAGTTTGCAAGAGATATCCTTTAATTCGATCTTATTCTAGGGCTCGATTGGTTAGGTGGACATCAAAAAAGGCTATTTATGCTCGGTTTGAGTCAGAGTAATATTATTGTGATGGGTGAGAAGAGTAATTGTCCAACTTCAGTGATTTCAGCTATTAAGGCTAACAAGCTGATTCGAAAAGGATATGAGATATTTTTAGCCTACATCATTGATACCAAGAAATATGAGCCCGAGCTTGAATCAGTTCTATCAGTGTGTGAAAACCCTGACATGTTCTCGGAAGAATTTCCTAGATAACCCTGATCATTGAAATGGAATTTGGGATAGAGGTGCAACTAGGGACTATACCGATCTTTATTGCTCCTTATCGCATGGCTCCGGTCGAACTTAAAGAGTTGAAGGTTCAACTTCAAGAACTTCTAGACCGAGACTTTATACGACCTAGTATATTGCATTGGGGAGCTCAAGTTCTCTTCATGAAAAAAGAAAGATTCGATGAGGCATTTGCATCAATCAATAATAGTCAACTCAATAAACTCACAAACAAGAATAAATATCCTCTACCAACAATGCATAATCTATCGATCAAACCAGAGATTTGTTTTATCTTAAACTCGATTCCCACTCTTTATTTACAAAACTCACCCTAAATCTATTTTCTTTGAAAAAATCAATTCTATATAATCAAGCCAGAATTCATTCTATTCAAATAAGATGACCCTCCCTCATTGTGACAAAAATAATTTCGTGAAAACCAAACATTATGATGTGTTCTTGAATTGGATTGAGCAATTTGACGTAAAATTCTGACGGTTGCTTCAAAAGAGGGGAAAGCTCCATCACAACAGAGACGAATTAAATTAATGAATGGGTTAGGTTAACTAGGAAACATCTTTTGATTTACAGTCATTGAATTAGAAGCCGTACAAAGTGATTATGACTTTGTTAATGGCCAACCAAAGGTATTGGGGCTCATCCACACCCATCAACTTTTAGGATTTATGCAGAGAAAATGTAAAATGTCGCAGAAAGCTGGGTCCTATTCTATAACTATTCAAATTAAAACTTCGAATTTTAATTCAGGAAGAATGTCTCTCATTGATTTCTCAATATGCCTGTGTTACCGCATGAGTTGAAGCTAAGCACTATAATGGATCGAGGGAAATTAACGGGTAGTATCATCTGAAAATTTTAATTCTTATATAATTTAATTTTTTTTAATATTTTTTATTAATAATTTATTTATGTTCCTCAAAATTTTATAAATTTACTCTTTTAAAACTTTTTAAATTCGTTTTAGGTTTGCCCATGATCATGTATAAATGTCGAGTATATATACTTTTATATGACGTGTTTAACGTAGTTTTCTTGAATGTGTCATCATGTCTTATTGTCTAAAGCTATGTTATCAAAACTCTAAACTAATCCAGGAACTTCCATATTTTATGCATGTAGAGAGATCGCTATCGTTTTGTATAGAATAATTGAGCAGTCAAGCACAGTGCAAATTTTTCTTGTCGTATATAAAATTTATCAAGGTTTAATTTACACTTTTACAGTTGAGAAAGACGTGTAATCAATCTTAATCTAAAAGTAGATGTAGTTCCCCATCCACACACATTGATTAGTGCTGATGAAATGAAATGGATTGTAGGGGTTGTGTGTACTTTACCTCTTTAGATTTAGGTAAAAAATTACAACCGGCGACGGATCAATGTTGAAGTATTTTCTCTCCTTAAGAAAGTAAAATAGAGATAAATGAAGATGAGGTGATTTCATCATAGTTCTATTTCTTCTCTCTGTCGTAATCCAGAAATTTTATAATGAGTCTTAAAGTTGGTGTCAACTTTAATCATTATGACTATTTATAAATTGTATTCTAAGTAAATATGATCAACTGACAGTAAATTTGATTTTGATAGGTCGTGTGGACATGTTAGAGATCATGTCAATATGTCATAATTTCCCAAGAATATTAAGTATTCAAGATCCTTTCTTTCATAAACGTTCTTTTTATATTTTCTGGAATTCTCAAAGTATCAGATAATAGAAGATGATTCTAAATCCTCCAAAAATTATGAGGCACGAAAATGATATACAAAATACCTTTAATTGTAAATCAATTAGTATTTTTTTCAAAACCATAAATATATTTAATATTTAAAGGTATCGCAAAGTTGGTGTAATTGCAGAAAATCAATAAATAATTAGAATTATCTCATTAGCATCAAATCGACTTTCTTTTTTGCTTTTTTTATTCTTTCCCTTTCTGTTTTCAAACACCAAGAAGAAGGAAGAATATCATGCATACTTATGTATATATGTTGCAGTCCCTCACATTTCACAAGCTCATCACCAAATAAAGTTACAAAAAAGAAAGCAGAAAAGAACAGAAAAAGGAAAGCAAAGGTCTTTTCAATAATTTATAAAGATGCGGGGAATGAAGATAGTGTAGTTGCCATGTTTGATGAAGTGGGTGGCAATGCTTCCCCTCCGAGTTGTTCCCAGAACATAAAGTTTGAACATTGCTGGGATTCAACCCATTTGTTCAACTCCAGCTGCTGCTTCTGCAAGCACTCAAGTGTCATTTCTCCTTCCTCCTCCATCCTACATGATTGGACTTCAATAGGTACCCCCAAGTTTTCCATATTATCCACCAATGGCGGCAGATAATTGTTGGAATCCATATCCACTGTGAAAGAAGTCGAAGAAGGGAAGGCTTGCACTTGATGCTGATTCAGGTTCCAAGTGCCCTCAGTGTTTAAATTAGCCGCTTCGTTAAAAAGCTCTCCTCTTACAGTATTACCATGTTGAAGAACTTGAACCCCATCAAGTGTATTTGACGTGTCGAACATAAATAATGGGGCATGATAAGAAGAAAATAGGGTTTCTTGATGATTAGGAATTGCCCTTGTCATCAAGTCCTGGTTCATTAACTCTAGTTGGTTTGGAACATAATTAATGTGGGAATGGTCAGTGGCACTAGGAGCATTGTTGGTTAGAGCCGCTGATGGCTTTCGTATCTTCTTCTTGATCCATGAGTTCCAGTAGTTCTTTATCTCATTGTCTGTTCTTCCAGGCAAGTGGCTAGCAATGTGAGCCCATCTGCAATAATTATCTCAGACATATCAGAAAACTGAACCCAGAATTGTTACTTACACCGTTAATGAAGCTTTAGAAAAGTATACCTGTTGCCTACAACCTCATGAAGGCTAATAATCAACTTCTCTTCCCCAGGAGTAAATCTCCCTCTCCTAATATCAGGCCTCAAATAATTAATCCATCTCAAGCGGCAACTTTTGCCACATCTTTGAAGACCTGAAAAGCAAAAGAGATGTCTTCATCATGGAAACTAATTAAGGGTGTAAAAAAAAAGAGTGATGATCAAAAAGATGGAGACCAGCTTTCTCAGGGACTTCACTCCAACACCCATATCCATGAGTGGTGATGTATCGAATGAGCTTTTCATCTTCCTCGGGAGACCAAAGCCCTCTCTTAACCCTCTGTTGATTGCAGCAAGAATGGTAACCCATGCTTGATTCGGATGAAAAAATATCCTTTCTTCTTCTTTTGATCTGTACACTCTATAGAGATATCGAAATGATGTTATTTACAAACTAATGATCCATTTTTCGATCCAAAGAAACTATAATTTTCTTGGGGATTGCAAGAAGTGGAGGCCGAGGCTGTTCCTCAACCCCAATATAAAGTAAGAGAGAAGTACAAAACGATGATGTAGCCATTTTCAAAGGAGAGGGGACCCCCTTTATTTTTCATCTAACCCTAAAACGACATTTCATCGGCTTATTTTCACACACAGGGAGAGAGAGAGAGAGAGAGAGATAGAGAGAGAGAGACGAAAGAGTAGCCATTTTCTACGTAGAGTTGTAGTATTACGTAACCCATGTTTCACGTACCCTTCATCCGATTCAATTCTTTCAAAATCTTTTGCCGGTTGTTTTTACAACCTTTCAGGACCAAACTCTTCTTACCGGTGGAGAATCAGACTTAGTTTGTTTTTACTGTGCAACCTCTTCAAATCTCTAATATCTGCGCCGCGCAGATCACGTTCAGACATTAAGCTTCACAGACCATTTATATTTTAGAAGACAGAAGCTCTTCTAACGTCTGCGCGAGCTCTTCTTAGTACAGACATGGTTTTATGTCTTCAAAGGTCTTCAAACCTCTTCAAATAACAATTATAAAATATGGTTATTTATTAAAATAATTTTAAATAATTTAATAAGGTTATTTATTTTAAAATAATTTATATTTATTATAAAACAATTTATTATAAAATAAATTATTATAAAATATGGATTGATTTATTTTAAAATGATTTATTTTAAATAATTTATTAGTATGGATTGATTTATTTTAAAATATGGATTGATTTATTTTAAATAATTTATTAGTATGTATTGATTTATTTTAAAATATGGATTGATTTATTTTAAAATATGGATTGATTTATTATTGTAGTTGTATGGATTGATTTATTTTAAATAATTTATTAGTAAGGATTAATTTATTTTAAAATATGGATTAATTTATTATTGTAGTTGTATGGATTGATTTATTTTAAATAATTTATTAGTATGGATTGATTTATTTTAAAATATGGATTGATTTATTTTAAATAATTTATTAGTATGGATTGATTTATTTTAAAATATGGATTGATTTATTTTAAATAATATATTAGTATGGATTGATTTATTTTAAAATATAGATTGATTTATTATTGTAGTTGTATGGATTGATTTATTTTAAATAATTTATTAGTATGGATTGATTTATTTTAAAATATGGATTGATTTATTTTAAATAATTTATTAGTATGGATTGATTTATTTTAGTAGTTGTATGGATTGATTTATTTTAAAATATGGGTTGATATATTTTAAATAATTTATTAGTATGGATTGATTTATTTTAAATAATTTATTAGTATAGATTGATTTATTTTAAAATATGGATTGATTTATTTTAAATAATTTATTAGTATGGATTGATTTATTTTAAATAATTTATTAGTATGGATTGATTTATTTTAAAATATGGATTGATTTATTATTGTAGTTGTATGGTTTGATTTATTTTAAATAATTTATTAGTATGTATTGATTTATTTTAAATAATTTATTAGTATGAATTGATTTATTTTAAAATATGGATTGATTTATTATTGTAGTTGTATGGATTGATTTATTTTAAATAATTTATTAGTATGGATTAATTTATTTTAAAATATGGATTGATTTATTATTGTAGTTGTATGGATTGATTTATTTTAAATAATTTATTAGTATGGATTGATTTATTTTAAAATGTGGATTGATTTATTATTGTAGTTGTATGGATTGATTTATTTTAAATAATTTATTAGTATGGATTGATTTATTTTAAAATATGGATTGATTTATTTTAAATAATTTATTAGTATGGATTGATTTATTTTAAAATATGGATTGATTTATTTTAAATAATTTATTAGTATGGATTGATTTATTTTAAAATATAGATTGATTTATTATTGTAGTTGTATGGATTGATTTATTTTAAATAATTTATTAGTATAGATTGATTTATTTTAAAATATGGATTGACTTATTTTAAATAATTTATTAGTATGGATTGATTTATTTTAGTAGTTGTATGGATTGATTTATTTTAAAATATGGGTTGATTTATTTTAAATAATTTATTAGTATGGATTGATTTATTTTAAATAATTTATTAGTATAGATTGATTTATTTTAAAATATGGATTGATTTATTTTAAATAATTTATTAGTATGGATTGATTTATTTTAAATAATTTATTAGTATGGATTGATTTATTTTAAAATATAGATTGATTTATTATTGTAGTTGTATGGATTGATTTATTTTAAATAATTTATTAGTATAGATTGATTTATTTTAAAATATGGATTGACTTATTTTAAATAATTTATTAGTATGGATTGATTTATTTTAGTAGTTGTATGAATTGATTTATTTTAAAATATGGGTTGATTTATTTTAAATAATTTATTAGTATGGATTGATTTATTTTAAATAATTTATTAGTATAGATTGATTTATTTTAAAATATGGATTGATTTATTTTAAATAATTTATTAGTATGGATTGATTTATTTTAAATAATTTATTAGTATGGATTGATTTATTTTAAAATATGGATTGATTTATTATTGTAGTTGTATGGTTTGATTTATTTTAAATAATTTATTAGTATGTATTGATTTATTTTAAATGATTTATTAGTATGGATTGATTTATTTTAAAATATAGATTGATTTATTATTGTAGTTGTATGGATTGATTTATTTTAAATAATTTATTAGTATGGATTAATTTATTTTAAAATATAGATTGATTTATTATCGTAGTTGTATGGATTGATTTATTTTAAATAATTTATTAGTATAGATTGATTTATTTTATTATTGTAGTTGTATGGATTGATTTATTTTAAATAATTTATTAGTATGAATTGATTTATTTTAAAATATGGATTGATTTATTTTAAATAATTTATTATTGTAGTTGTATGGATTATTTAAATTTCAGTATTGTAAAACTAAAATTATTTAAATCTCAGTATTGCAAAACTTTTTTAAGTTTAAAAAATTAGTTTATTTATATTTCAGTTCATTTTAGCAGTCTGCAGACGTTAAAAAACAAACAGTATTCTTCTTGCAGACTGCAGACTTTTGGTCCACCTCTTCTGCTGTAGATGCCTGCAGATGTGATCCGCAGACTGCAGACCTTTTACCTCTGCAAAAACAAACACCACCTCAATGTGATTTGACGACCAATGGATGCATGGCATGTCATGGAAGAAAATTATTATAACATACATCTAAAGTAGGATAGCTTAGGGTAGGGATGTATATAGAGGAATTAACCAAGACATTTCTTTTCTGAAAATGTCAAATTTTATATGTTTTGTGTATTTTTTATTGATATTTTTTATCTTTAAAATTTTATAAATTCATCTATCATAACATAAAATCATATGTTCGTCTATGTCTCGAGGTGAAAAAAATGTAAAAGAGAAATATACGGTTGAACAATAAATAAAAAAACCAACACGTTTTTAAAATCTTGAGAAATGTTCTAAATTGCTTCTCTTTTCCGACTTGATGCACTAATGGATCGAGAGATGTAGGAAACGCCGTACCCTTCAAAAAAATTTAAATTCTTATACAATTTAGATATTTTTTTTATTTTATTTAGATAATATACTTTCACACTCTTAACATTGTGTAATTTGGCACCCTTAAGTTTCTAATTATATTTTACTTTGATAATTTAATTTTGAGTATACCAGTCTTAATGAGATTAACAAGTTCGGTCTTCATTATCCCTTTCATTAGGGGATGATTTGATTAACTTGTGTGTATATTTATAATTAAACTTAATTACGGCTAAACAAAGTAATTAAGAACAAATACAAAAAGATTAAAGAGAAACGTCCAAATAAAGACCGTTTATGAAGAACAAAGCAAAGAGACGTGGAAATACAAAGTTTATAACAGAAGGGAATGATTGTAATAAAAGACTCAATTTATTCAGTTAGGAGACAATTTGGAGAGGCGATGAAAATGAAATCCCTTCATTTTTTTAATTTTTCTTCATACGTACTTATTACATATATCAACTGTTCAAGACATGACCTATTTTCTAATTCTTTATTATTTGTAATAATATTCTATTTTTCTTTATTGTTAGTTTTACTAATCTCGATGACGGTTGCATCACGTAATTCATGAACTCCAACTCATGATATATATGTAAATATACATATAATATCAGTCCAGACCAAAAGTCACAACATAAGATATTAATCACTTGGTTAATCAATTATGTAAATGTGTATTATACTCAATCAAGGGGTGGAGTGCAATGTACACTATCAATATATATATATATGGTTGGTTAAGGCGTGGAAAACGTTTTTTTTAATCTTATTTTATGTATACGTAGAGGGATAAACATTACTAATATAATAATTATTGACATGAATTAAACAATATGAGGGAAAGGGGCTGTTGATTGATGCAAATCATCTCACCCACATTTGATGTGAGAAAAATGAATGAAAGGAAATTGCATTTGCAAGCCAAGCTTTGAAAATAATATACGAATCATTTATATAAAAAAGACCTTTAGAAGGAGGGAAAAATGGGAAATGATTTAACTTAGCTTTAAGGAGGAGCAATGGGTGTGGTGTGGCAAAAAATGGGCCTACCGATGGGGGATTTTAAGAACCGATTAACATAGAGAAAATATGCCTTTTAAAGCATGGTTGGTTAAGTTATTAACTCAAGGATGTAATGTCTCTACCATAAGTTATTTTGTTTGAATAATATATATAATTGTTCAACTATATTTTTATATAACAATTTAAGGCAAAATATTTTTGGACTTGAATTGAATTTATTCAAAGTTTTCAAAAATAATTCAAAGTCTTTAAAACTTGAAATTGAGCACAAAACAATTTTTTGGACAAGAAGTACCGATACTGTTCTTACAGTATCGATACCTCATCAACAGGACCCATATGATGTCGATATCAAAGGTAAGGGAAGTATCGATACTGTTGAAAACATTTTTGATGTTTCGATATAACAAATTAAGTGTTA